GCAAAAAACGCATAAAAATACTTCCACCGTCAAGCTTTTGAGATCCACAAGATAATTTCAACAACCATAAACCTGTTTTTTATGGAATAAAACTTTGTTTAAAAAAAAAATCCCCTACAGAACTTAGAACAGAAATAAAGCCATTCTACGATATCTAATACCTGATCAACCTGACTCAGTCTTTATTACGCACTGGCGAATGAAAATTTCAACATAGGAAGAATACCCCCCCACTCACTCAGCATTTCATTCTTTGGACCGTACTACATCGTGGTGTATTTCCGGAATCCTTTGAAATTGCAGTTTTCTGTCCTCACAGACTCCTACTCCATCCAATCCTAGCACACGTGTTCCTGTTGATGACGGCCTCTCTTGTAAAAAACCGGAGATCGCTACGAGGTGCAATGAAGAATTCTGTAAGCGGTTGTGATATTGTGGAAGATGCAGTATTTTTCAATAGCACGAGGAGAACACGAAAATGCCAGAGCCATCAGGGAAATGTTAAGAGGGCGTATGACTGTGCTGGCATCTTTCTAGTAATGCACCTTCGTTCACAGATACTTCAAAAAGTTGGTAGCCGTGTCCACTGCCCTAAGGTAAACTAACGGGGGGGCCAGACAATGAAAAATATCAAAGCAAATAGCATACAACTACTGCATTGAAAGCTAGCCGATTTGCCTGGCTCACTGTGAGTGCACAAGAGGGATTCAAAAGCTCAGTTCGCAAGCAGACTTGCTCAAGCACCGTGACCTGTACAATGTATTACGAACTTTTGACTGAGTCAGTGTCGTCTGTTGAAGGCGGCCCGACAAGAGGGGTGGCCGGCGCTGCTTCTGAAGGACTGCCATGTGCTTCTACCCATGCTATGAAATCACTTCCATCCCCTTTCGCGCTTGTAATATTTCGACGAGGTGCTGCCAGCACTGGTTCCGAATCCAACGACAATACTCGTGACCCGTTCATTTCTCGATCACGAGCTAACTGCTCCAAATTTGGGTTTTCCTGAAAAACTTTCTTACTAAAATGTTCTACAAGGAACGTTGAGGAGTGATGTTTAATTTCGCCATACCACTGACGCAGACTGCAAATGAATTATTTTTGTTTCGCAAAACTCTGATTTCAGCGTTGTTTTACACTGATAATTCAATACAGATATTGAATAATCAATGTAAATCATTCTCTAGTTTTACCCAATGCCTTCATGAATCCTCCCCATTTCGCACTGTTGCACGGGAACTTCATATAAAAAAAAAAAAAAAAACAACAGACGCAATCAGCTGAAAAACTTGCGAGGTTTGTAAATTCACTGACGCCATTTTCATGATGAACTCCTGTTGCGACTTGAACTGATGACTGAGATGCCTGGTTCCACGACTTCAACAACAACTCTTCCCGACTGCCTGAAATGAGCCACGACCTCTGATCAGAGTTCGAAATACGTTACTGCCACAATCTACATACACTCAAACCAACCCAAGTTAATTACAGAAGTGAGTACCCAGCTCCAAATTAACATCAGTAATGGAACAGTCCATTCGACAGCATCACAAGATCCATCAATCCTTTCCCCCCGTGCTCTCCCGCCTCGACGATTAGCCCCCAATTCATTCCTCAGCTCTATGCAGCTTTTGAAATTGAAAGGCATACAAACTTTGCTTTTTTTCAGATTTATAAGTCAGAAAGAAGTAACTAGTTGTACCCTGCCCATGTTGGCAGGCCGAAAATAAAACGCATGGCCATAAACCAAAACAAATAGCAATGCGCACCAAACTAGCCGGTGCGATCACGCGTTTTGTGCAATCCCGCCCACAGAACGATTGCCTATTAATGATTTTCACTGCTTTGTGCTTTATTCTGTGCAAAAAATAGTTGAAACGCTGGAGAAAAAGGTTAAAAATTTCAAGCACTTGCGCATGAAAGCTGAATTTGAAACTCTGAAGGGTAAATATCCTTTCGTGATCCCCGAGATAATAGTTTACCCACCAAAATTTTCATGAGGCCGTAAGTGATTTTCGAGAGCACGGAAACGCTGAATTTGAATATGTAACGTCGTACGTGGGCAAGGAGTCACTACCCTAAAATTTCGGCTTTGTAAACTTCGTGGTTCCCGAGATAGTAGTTTACCCGCAAAAAATTTCCATGGAGCCGTAAGAGAAACCTGAGAGTGCGGGAACGCTGAATTTGAATTTGCAAGGTCGTACGTGGGCAAGGAGTTACTACCTTAAAGCTTCAGCTTCCTAGACTTCGTGGATCCGGAGACAATAATTTACCCGTCAAAAATTTTCACGGGGCCATATATGTTAACGGCGGGCAGAAGAAAGCTGAATTTAAATTTCCTGGGTAGCACATGTGCGGGGGACATGCCCATAAAACTTCAGCCTCCTAGCCTCCGTGGCTCCCGTAATAATTTTACCCGCCCAAACTTTACGTGGCCGTATGTGTTGCCCGAACGTACGGGTAGGCCGAATTTAAATTTGCGGGGTCGCACGTGGGTAGGGGACGTTCCCCTAAATTTTCAGCTTCCTAGCTTTTGTGGTTCCCGAGTTGAAAGTTCTGGACAAGTTGCTGCGGATACACACACACACGCAAACACACACAGACAACCCCGTGACAATATGCGTTTTGTACTGCTGTTACACAGCACAAAACGCATAAAAACAGTTTTCCAAACTTAGAGAAATTTCTCAAAAATTCACTCACTTTAAAAAACTTTAAGCATTCTTGTCAGTTTTTTCTTGAATTAAAAACCTATTCCGAAACGCTTCTGGGCATCTCTGAATTGAACTCCAAACAACAAAGAAAAGGGTTATGAATGGGATGAGTTAACATGCCTTTTATAAATCATGCAAAACAACGAATAAAAATTGATCAGCGCACCGACAACCGGTGAGAAGATGCTGCAAACTTCCCCACAGGTTTTTGCCGCTAACGGCAGATGCTTCTAGTTAAAAGATTTGAGACTGGCCACCAGGACTGTCAGAAAAGAACCCCTTAAAATTTCAACTTTCTAGCTTTCCTGATTCTCGAGTTAGCAACTTGCCCACCAAAAATTTTCACTGGTTCGTGCGCGATGACCACTCATAACTGGAGGCAGAGCTTGAAGTCACTAGGTTCTACATGGACCGAAGACATCCCCTTCAAAATCCAGCTTTCTAGATTTTCTGGCTCCCGAGTTAGCAATTTACTCGCCAAAAAGTCCCGCGGGCTCGTGCGTGGGAATCACGCATAACTGGGAGCTGAACTTGAAATCTTGAGGTTTACGTGGAAGGGGAAAAAAATCGCAACTTTTCAGCCTTCTAGCTTTTCTGACTCCTGACTTAGCGATTTTTCCGCCAAAACTTTTGCGCGTCGCATGCTGGGCCTAGGCGCACGTGCGGGCTGGTATCGTGGCTCTGGGATGACACTTCGCCAGGGAACTTACTGGCAAAGTTTGGCGCCGGAGCTTGCGTAGTTGCCAAATAGAATAGAAATACTCGGACACACACACACGCACACACCGGGGTCGTCACAATATACGTTTTTGCATTTGTATATATGCAAAAATGCATGAAAAACCACAGGTGAAGTGTTTTGTCACTGCCTTATACTAAGCTGAAATATAGAGTTCGAAGCAGAGAAGGAAGTGGGTCGAGTTAAAATGGGTGCGTAACAGTTAACGAGGGAACACTTTTCCAGTTTCTTAGATGTCTAGATCCGAACGCTGCGTGCACGACTGCTAAAAACAGATGCATCGCTGTCGACTCTCCTTTGAAAATTAACTGAGAAACGTGTGCGACGCGATTTGCCTAGACTGTTATCTGTACCGCTGTCATACACTATTAAAATCATTGGCGACACACACCGGGCGGGCTCGTGCGAACATGCGTTTTTGCAGTGTTTTGTGCTGTAATGAGATCGCTTGGAAACCCAGTAGTTAGAAATGTGTGACATACTAGTCTTCGAATTTCAGGAAGCTAATTGTCTATGCTGTATTTGAACAGAGAACATTCTCTAAAAATTTCAGCCTCCCTGCTTTTCCGGCTCCCGAATTAGCTATTTTCTCGCCAAAAATTTCCATGGGGCTTTATATGAGAACGATGCACATCGAGGGGTTGAATTCGATAACTTTAAGATGCACATATGCCAGGAACATTCCCTGAAAATTTCAGCCTCCTAGTTTTCCAGGTTCCCGAGCTAGCCATTTTTCCCCCAAAAAATTTCACGGGACAGTACATGAAAACCACCCATGCCTGGAGGCTGAACCTGATAAATCTTTGTTATATATGTGCTGGGGACACTCCCTGTAAATCTCAGCCTCCCAGGTTTCCTTGTTCCTGAGTTATCCGTTTTCCCGTCAAAAATTTTCACGAGGCCGTACGCGAGTACCACACACTGAGAGTCTGAGTTTGATAATTTTAAGCTACACTTGTGCTGGGACTATTCCCTGAAAATTTCAGCCCTGGTACTTAAGTGAGCGATTTTCGCGCCAAGAGAGGTCACGCGGCTGCACGCGGGAAATAAGCAAACCTGGGAGCTGAATTTGAAATCTTTGAGTCCTCTGTGAACGGGGGATGTAACCGCAAAATTTCAGCTTTCTAGCTTTTCTGGCTTCCGAGTTCGCGATTTTCCTGCCAAAACTTTCACCCCCTCGTACGTGGGGCCCAGACTTGCGTGACGGTTGGCACCGCGGTCCTGGGGCGGCACTTCGCCAGGGAACCCACCGTTTTTGCGTTAGCACATAAGCAAAAACGCATAATGAGTTGCAGCCAGTCTCCTGCCGGCAGCAAAGCTGCACCAAACAAAAATCTGTGCATCACAACACAAAAAAGGCCATCAACTCTCAACAACAAAGCCAATTTGTCATAAAACTTGGAAAGTGTGAGCGCTTCACCACAACACTTTTGAACGATAATTCCCAAAAGCATGCTAAAGCACAGTACTTCTCTTTTCTCTGAGATTACACAGACTGCAAGACTGCCCCGGGATCAAGCAAAAGCGAAAACAAAAGTACCACTAATAATATTTAGCATATGATTAAGTTTGTTACTATTCCAGAATGCTTATAAAGCGATTCTATAAGCAGACTATTCAGCAGTTTGATCAGTTATGCAAGGACTACACATCAACCAATGATGTCAGATTTCGCCATTTCATTTGTGCCCCATTCTTCAATTCTCTAGCCGTATTTTGGCCACAGTGATTTGCATTGAAGGTTTTGGGCGCAGGCCAGACTAAAGTTCCTACTGGTGCAGATCTTGGTGGTAGTAATAAAAGGAGAAAGGTTCCAAAACAGCAGCTGGATGTGAGTCAGGATTCTGACGTCACAACTAAGTTAGCAAGCGTGCAATTACATCAAATATTAGTTACAGGTGCGGTGTACTGCGCATGTAGCCCAACTGTTTGTTAGTGATAAAAATATTTATCTTCCAAATCGTGATGAATTATGCCCCTATTCGTGCATAGTGTGAAATGCCAATGGTGTGAACTCAAAGCAAATGTCTTGAGAAGTAGGCTTATCGAGGTGAGTAACTAGAAGTGCCTTTACACGCCGAAACAGTGTTGTGCTTGACCAGCTGCACTGAACTAGACCCCTCCCAGTGGGTGCCAGCTACCTGGAACAAATTTGCCTTAAATAATGACATCCGACTGACAATTTCCATCTTAAAAATATCGGCGCAACCCACCTAAACTATGAATTTACATTCGAAGGTGCTGCTCGGCAAATCCGATTGGCTGGGACCTCGAACTAGTGTACTTGAAAGCGCTTCAGACAACATATTTTCAAACAGGATTACCATGACGATGATGACCAACGGCTGAAGAACCGCTATTACCGTCAGTCCGGCCATCTTCGAAAACTGGCTCAAGGGAGAATGGTAAGTATCGCTCGTTTGTTTTACGTCGTAAAGAACCACTTTCTCCGTCACTGGCCCTGCCAACTTTGCTACTCCATTTAGATTTAACAGCAGACGGTAAACTTGAAA